GGGGGACACAGAACGGGTTGCCCTCCGCTTTCCCCCGAGGGTGCTGAGAGCGGGCGGGGGGGAGCAACCAGGGGGAGCCCCCCCCAGGTGATGGGGAGATGCTCACAGGGCGAGCAGCTGAGCAAGGAGCATCAGTCCCTAAAGATTTTGGGGGAATTCGCATGCGGGTTCCCCCTCAACCTGCGCCCAAAGCCACCCCCGGCTTTTGAGGGGTTCACCCAAAGGACCCCCCGGCTTTTGGGGAAGTCACCCGAAGGGCCCCCCCCACACCCAGCTCCCCCGGAGCATCCCCCAGGGACACCAGGGCCCTGGCAGGGACAGATTCAGGGGACAGGGTGGTCCGGGGGGGGATTGCTCGCCAGGGAGCAATTAAAGGTAATAAAGTGCCTCTGACAAGGAATACTCCAAAGGCCAGAGCTGTGACAAGGGATTGCTACTCACAATCATCTGAAAAAGCTTTTCCCACCTGAAACTAGAGGGAAGGATCCCTGCAGCTGGACTGTCATCGATATTTCTTGCAGGATCCAGAAGCAGCCCCGTACCAGACCAGGATTGTCCCCCCCACACACCTTCAGCAGCCCCTCAGGATGCTGAGATCTGCACCAGGGACCCAGCGAGGTCCCCAGAGCAAGCAGAGCTCAGCACAGCACCTACTACACACACACAGGAGCTGAGCAGACAGCGAAGGCGTCCACTGACAGGGATGGCATCTCTCAGAGCTGAAGATGCCAAAAATAAAACCGAATTGCAATAACCAGCCCAGCCCCACATCTCAGCAGCTGGAGCAGAGACAGCACGTCCCGGCTGCCCAAGGCTGGTTCAGGGTGGAAAAATCTCTGCCTTGCCCAAGGAGATGATGCTGCACGACCAGCAAGAGGATGAGCACCATCTCATCCCTCCTCCCTGTGTTCAGCAGACCAGAAGCCAAGAGACTCGTGTTGCAAAAGGGATGAAGTCAAGGACTTGGTACGTTCAGATGCTCCCTGGAAAAACCACGATCCCACCCAGGGGGGCTGGAAAGAGACTGAGCTACAACAGCACCAGACACTGACCCGGGAGGGGCATTAGAACATCCCAGCTCTTCAAATAGTTGGAAAATTTTGCAGTGCAGAAAGAACAGAAATCAAGGGAGCCTCAGGTTTGTGTTTGTCATCTCCATCCATCCTGAAGAGCACACACCTGGGCACACACCACATCCTGCATCTGCATTCCATAAAATGGGAAAACAGCAGCTTCACAGCTCTTCTCCCCTCAAGCATAGTGGCACAAACCACTGCTCAGCTGCTGCAGAACATGTCCATGACCATACTGGCCCCAAACAGAGACCAGCATAGACCTCCCACTCCTGCCAGACTTCTCAGACTGACTGACCACCAAACAAGAACAGATGAGCTCTAACCAAAGACAGAAATGTGCTTTAAAAAAAAAAAAAAAAACCACCAAGTCTTCCCCAGCAGCAGTTTTCCTTTTGTTTATGACATTTCTCAGCCTTGTTCTCCCGGAGGAAAGCTCACTACAGAGAAGGACACAGGAGGAAGCAGCCTGGGCAGGGAGAGCCTCAGCACCTTCTCGAGTGAGTCTCAGTTCTGCTCCGTGTCCCAAAACCAAACTGGATCCCCCCCAGTTCAGAGCAGAGGGCTTAGACCCTGCACAGGGAACAGGGACTGAGGGGGAACGTCCTCACCAAAACACACAGGGGCCACGAAAGGCAGGTGCCACCAGCAGGACAGTCCCAGAGGAAAGGCAAGACAGGACCATTGCATCCACCTCCGGACAAGAGAGGGGGCAGTGAGGACAAACCCCGTCCCCCCCAGCACAGGAACCACCAGCTCATTCTCCAGCCGAGCAGAAATCCCCACTTTTAATCCCCATTCTCCCAGGACACACTCTCCCACAGCTCCTGCAAAGCCCCTTGGGCACATCTCCCACCATCACCTCCCAAGATGTCAACGATGATACGAGTCTCCTCAAAACCCAAAGCCCTGGCATCATCTTCTACCAGTTCTACCCCCCACACTTCCCCAGAAAAGTAGATTTTCCATTGTGAGGAGTTTTACACCACACTCCCCTCCCACAGGAGCTCATCCCCTGCATCCCCTGAGGCAGCAGGAGCCCCATGGTACCCTCGGGACAAGCCACACATTGTTCCCAAAAAGCCCAACAAGCCCCAGGCTCCCCCAGGCAGCCACCACTGCTGCCTCCACGCTCTTTAAAGTGCAGAAAGTCAGCGGGGTTCCCCCTCGCCAGGGAAAGAAAGAAAGAAAGAAAGGAAAACCTGCTTGGGGGTTGCCTGGTTTTAACTCCTTTGTCCATCACTCAGCAGTGTAACTCCAGGAAGAAAGCTCTTATTAGGGATTTCGGGCTCAAATGGTAGTAAAAAGTTAGTGCTTTGATTAAAGCAAGAGGGGAAAACCCCACCAGCTTTCAGAAACAAGCCCTCTACTCTCCTGTTCTCCCCAGAGCAGCAGGTCACTAGATTTGGCATTTTTTTTCCTAAAATAAAATACAATTTTCCAAGAAGGCAGTCCCACAGGAAGGGTTTCTTATTAAAAAAAAAAGTACATATTCTTGACTCACCTAAGACCAGCAGGATTTGTCCTACACATGCCCACGGACTCCTTCCTCCTCCAGAGCCACGATGCTCAAAGTAAGTAGCCCAAAAAAAGAGGGAGCTGGAGCATCAGGCTGTAACTGCTGCTTTTCCACGTCTGACAATCAGGAGAGTTCATGTAACGAAGCCAGTTCCACCAGATCAGTTAAACCCACACCAACAAGAAGTAATCCACCAGATTTTGAGAGAAGCAGCGTCTGCAGCCTCCGGCCGTGACATTCCCAGCTACAGACAGGAGGGAGCATCCCAAACCCACACCAGTCCATGGGCTTATGGCTCCAGGGATCCCAGCAGAGACAAACCATCCAGAGACAAATCCTCTCGGCTCAGGACCGCTTGCTTGGTGGAGGGGGAGAAGACACAAGCCTGTCAGAGTCTTGTCTCCTTAATTCTGGGCACAAGGACAGTCCAAGTGCTATTGTGGCTGGTGGCATCTGCTCCTTTCAGTACAAAGTACCAAAAACTGTAGCAAAGCAAGTGTCAGGAGGAGAGGACAGCAGTGACCTTGTTCTCCAGGCCTCCTGCAGGAACATCCAAGGGTATCTGAGCACATCCCAGGTAGCACAGCTGCAAGATATTCCCAAATCCAGCATTAAGCAGCCAGGACCACGCTGAGATGAAGGACCACAAAGTGGGATTATTCTTGCTGCTGCCGAGCAGAGGTCCTGGCCGTGCTGCTGGACACGTCCAGGGGAGCAGGCAGCACCAGCCAATTCCTTGCTTAAGATGCTACTGTCCCAGTTGTTCAGTCAGTACTGGTCGCACTGGTTTCTGACGTGTAGGGCTACAGTTTAAATCCATCTGCAGGGGAGAATCATTTCTTCACAGGGCAGCACATCTCCTCCACCCAGCAGCAGAGACAAGTGCAGCAAATGCAGCCAAAGGCTCACAAAAAGGTGACAATTCACACCAATAACGGCACACCAGTGGCCATGTGTGCAGAATGGTCATCTCCCACCGTGGAGTCCTCAGGAGCTTGATCCCCCTCCTGAAATCAGCACCTGCAGCAGAGCCCAGTCCTGCTGAGCCCTTCCAAAGGTCCACTCAGAGATCCCAGAACCTGCTGAAGATGTGGCCGAGGATAAACAGCTCCCACCATCCCTTACCTTTGGTGACAACCTCATCAGAGGGTCCAGGACAGACCCAGAACCTCCCTTCCCTCTACCCCCTTCCCAGCAGCAAACCCACAGGATTCACAGCAGCACCGAGGATGGTCAAACACTTGTTTGGGAGGGATTTTGATTTATTCCTCCTCTGCCAGCTCCGCGCACACACCATCACGTGTGGGTGCACACACAATTTTATTAGAGATACATTAGTACGCGCACTACCCCGCTTCGTTAGGGCACTGCTGCTCCCCAGCACAAAGTCCGTATTTGTTTCCCCTGCAGGGGTGGAAATAAAGGGGGTTTTGTATTTTCTTCCTCTTCTCTTTGCAGGCTGGAGTGAGTTTATTTGACACTCCAGCACTCTTTGTGAGCTGAGTGCCCGAGGATAAATGCTACCCTTAAGAGTTACTTGGCGTTAGACAGAGGGACCCTCTTCAGAGGAGAATGGGGGGCTTGTTGGGATGGGGTGGGAGGGGGCACGGGGAGGGGGCCTCCGAAGAGCGCCTATGCAGCCCTCATAGAAGGGTCTCTGTCCTGGGCTCACAATAGAGCGAATTCTTAAAGATACCGGGAGCTGAAAGGAAGGAAGGAACTTTCCTCCTTTTAAAAAGGATTTTCAGGAACAATTGAAGAAGCTATAAAAAGGGGATCATTATTTCCCATCCAGTCCACCGGGCTGGGAAGCCCTCCCTCCCCCTCTCCAGCCCCCGGCTGGGAAGATCTGACACAGACCATTGGGACAAGCACAAGAGGTGGGATGATGGTCACCATCCAGTGTCCCTTTGCTGAAGGAGCTGCCCAGACCCCATGAGCAGGAGATGTCCTCCTCCCTCCCACAGATGGGTACCAGTTACACCAGTCACCTTCTCCTCCCCAGGACCAGCTGCCCTGGTACCTCCAGGTCCTCCTGCCTCAGAAATAACAAAAGGGAATCACCCAGAAGCAATGTTTGACTCAAACATCCACTGATGGAGCAGGATGCCACCATCCTTCCAGTGATACAGGAGCACCTACGTGTCCCTCCATCCTCGCAGAGACACAAATCTGTGCAACAAGGAGGGCACTTCCATGGCTAACACACAGCTTGCCCAGACAGAGGCACCAGCCAGCCCTAGGTGAGGAGCTCCTTCTCCCCAGCTTCACGATGGAGAGTTTTCTGCAGACACACTGAGCCTTGCACAGCCCAGACAGAGGAGCCAGAGCCCCAGCAGTCTGCCTGGTGAGCTTCAGCTCCAGGTTGGAACCAACTGACCCCGACCACTCTCATAGTGACTTATTTCAGCTCTTGGGGCTGCACTGCAGCATTTCTGGCATCTCACACAGCAGCAACCACAGCCCGGATGCTGACATCCCTCTTTAGGCTGGCATCTCACACAGCAGCAACCACAGCCCAGATGCTGACATCCCTCTTTAGGAGGGAGGGGAGCCATAGGATGAGGGGGAAGGGTTTGACACTGAAAGAGGAGAGACTGAGATGAGGTGGGGAAGAACTTCTTTGGTGTGAGGGTGGTGAGAGCCTGGCCCAGGTTGCCCAGAGAAGCTGTGGCTGCCCCATCCCTGGAGGGGTTCAAGGCCAGGTTGGAGGGGGCTTGGAGCAACCTGGGCTGGTGGGAGGTGTCCCTGCCCAGGGCAGGGGGTGGAACGAGATGATCTTTAAGGCCCTTTCCAACCCAAACCATTCTAGGATGATTTTGGTGAGCCCTGTGTGTACCCCAGAAGCAGGCAACATCTCAGCAGGACCTCACCCCACCAGGCTCCCCCATTTCCTCCTCACCTCCAGCTTGCTGAGGAGGTTCTGGAACCACACGTGCAATCCAGTCCATACCAGAGCTCACTGGCCATGAAGAAAGCTGCTAGAACTCACCACAACCCCGAGGGGACCTGTTCTCCCCAGTCCCAAGCTTTTCCTGCTTCTCAGAGGTGGCAGGACTCAGCTCGGGGGCTCCCAGCAGCGAGCAAACAGGATCCTCTCGTCTTAGAAACACAAAAAAGCTCCTCTCAGCTTTAATTCAGCAATTTTGTTTCCCAGCTCATTGCATCAGAGACAGGCCTTTGGCCATTAGCTCCTCTCAGCTTTAATTCAGCAATTTTGCTTCCCAGCTCATTGCATCAGAGATTGGCCATCCACCTGCAGAACAAGCCAGGCTGCCTCTTGGTGTCACTGGCACCACGTTCCCATCCCTCCAACAGTGACACATGTGCCAGTCCCATTGCCAAGAATGAAGATGGGCAGAGGACAATGCCACCTGCCTCAGAAACATCACCATCATCCAACCCACAAATCCCGAAGGGACCTTCTCTGCATCTCCTTGCTGCCAGCAGGAGACCACACACCAGAAATGTGTTTGCTCACAGCAATTTAGGAAAAAGAATTCCAAAATTCAGGAGCCACTCCTGAAACACACTGGCCTGAACCTGCTGTTTATAGGACCAGCAGCAGGAGCTGGACTGGACTGACCACAGTGACACCACCATCCATCCCAGACTGGAGAGGATGATGATACTGAGGTCCCAAAGCATCCTGCCTTCACCTGACCCAGCGCAGGGCACGTGCAAGCAACCCACAGCAGCACTTCAAAGCCAGTTTAAAGCCACCATATGGTACCACACACAAACCTTGTAGCCCTTGTGACCAAGTCATGTTGCTTGAGAGGTTCAAGGTGTTGTCTCAGACCCAGCTTTAATTAGAACGGAGCCATCACTGCTCCTCCTTTGCAAGGCCACAAGCAGTTTTCTGCAGCCAGAGAGGTGACAGCTCTGGTCCCCCCTCCCCAGGGAGAAAAGGCAAGAATAAAAGCCCGTAGCAAGAAGCATTAAGAAGAGCCTGACTTGATAACATTTGTTCCTGATAAATAAAAAAAAAAAAGCCCAGAATGGCTTTTGCATTTTTTCAAAGCCGCACAACCACCCAGGGATCAAACACATTTATTTAAAGGCTTAGGTTTTAACCCTCAAAAAAACACATCTGTGGCTTGGCAGGAAAAAACCAAAAACAGCCAATTGAAGGAAAAAACGTTGCCTTCTGAGGGCACGGGTGCAGCCCAGCCCTGGGACCGAGATCTTCACACCTCATCAGCTCTGTCTGGGAGAAGAGACACTTCCAGACGGAGCAGAAGTGAGAGAAACCTCCCCCACCACGCTCCATCCCTGCAATTCAGAGGCTGCCACAGAGGGGAAAAAAACCCCAAAAATGAAGAAAAGGGGGAAGCTTTGAAGCTCAGAAACCAGCTGCAGAGCGGGACACGAAGCCACACGGAACGTGGGCTCTGTCTCCAGGGACTCATACGGCGACGCACTGCAAACCCTAACCCTGCACCAAGGGCTTTCGTCCAAAAGGAACAGTATTTATTAGGAAGTTATAGGAGGCAATAAAAGTGTTTTCATGCAATATTTATACTGACATGTGGGGGCGGAAGGCTTTATGCTAGCGTTTTCCCCTTCATTTTTTTGTTTTAAATACATCTTCCTGATGAAATAAGCCATTCTGAACAAGGCCACCCTTTGTAATGCAGTTATAATTTTTCTGGCCGGCCTTGGTAACTGGCAAAACACTCTGCTTTTCTTGCCCTCTCTTTTGTTGCTTTGCTTTTTCTGTTCAAAGTTCAAACAAACAAAACAAAACAGAAGAAAAACCCACCCCAGCAAGCTGCATTGTGCTCCTGGCGTTATCCCCCCCCACAACGCCATTGTCTGGGGCTCAGAGGGGTGGAGTGGGGGGGGAATGGGTGTGGCCCCAAATCTCCTAAAATTGAGGGCATTATGATCATTTCTTATCCAGAAGAACCCTCAGATAGGACAGCTTGGGTCCAAACCAGTCGAGATCTGAGCCAGCTGCTACTAAAAAGCGCCCATCACCGAGGGGAAGGGATGCTATGGTATCAAATATATCCAAAATCATGCACAAGAGGAATCCACAGCAAAACCCAGTCCTGGGAAGAGCCAGGTCAGAGCCCAGGACTTCCAGATCCCAGAGCTGTGCTTTGCTGCAGCAGAAGCATTCACTTAGGAAAGAGTCAGGTCCCAGCCCCAGTCACAGCACCCCCCAAGTGCCCCCCTCAACACACAGCCCCACATCAGGCTCTGAGATGGCACCTGAGTCTGGTTCAGAGACTACTAAACCCCCCCCAATCTGTAGTTTCATTTCCAGCTGCTCCTCAAACAGCTCCTGGTGTCCACTGCAAGTGACCATGACCACCAGTTCTCCCAGTCTGCTTCAGGGCACCCCTCCTCTTCCAGCCCAGAAGGGATGAACCCACCTTCCCCAGGTGACAGCTCCAGCATGGCCGTGGCAGAGGGCTCTGCTGGGGACCTTCACCAGAAGAAACAGCCCCAGTTCAGTGCCTCTGAACCGGGTCTTGACAAAACTCAAGAGATTTGGGGTTGAGACCATTGGGGTTGTTTCCCCAATCGCCCTTCCAACCCCATGGGGGCAGGCAGGAGGATCCTGGACTAAATCTACCAGCTGGGCAGGGACACACACTCCTGCTCCCAGCACCAGCATCTCCAGCTGCTGGAATTAAGCCCAGCAGAGAAACCCCACTGCCCACCACAGCCCACCAGCTCCAGGCTTCCCCAGGCTCCACAGCCACAGATGAAGTTTCTGCTACACAAACAGAGCTCAAACTCCCCCAGCTCAGCCCTCCTACCCCACAGTTTGGGAGACACCACAAAGGGAACACACCTGGCCATCAGAGTCAGCTTACCTTACCTCCTCCTGTCCGTGCAAGAAGGGGGTTGTATTTCCCTGCACACACACGTTGTGCTGGCAAAGCACCTCCACACTTCAGTTTGGGACCCTCTTCCCATCAGAAAACTTTACATCCCCACTGTCAGAGTTCCCCAAAAAAACATCACCACCAACATGTCAAATGAAGCTCGAGGGGCACCACATCTCAAACTACCTTTTGCGTGAGACACCTGAACGTGGAAAGCAAGTGGTAAAACAAGAAGCTTCATAGAAAGAGCAAGTCCAAGCAGTTCTGGCTCGTTTTGCAGCAAAGCCTTTGAGGAAGGAGGACACAAAAGCATTGCAGCTCCCTTCTGCCCTGTCAGGGGGCTCAAACTCTCTACACATGTTTGATTCCACACCCAGGGGAAGGATTAAGGTGAACTAGGAAAACCTGGGAAGGTTTTTCCACCCATCCCTAATT